TCAGTGCAACAAGTGTTTAATGAACAACAGTATACCTAGTCCTAGGCACATGCTGAGGAAAAGAAACGAGATTCCAATGTTAGCCTGAGGTGACTCAAAAAATATTTTTGGACCGGCGAGATGAAAAAAGCAAGTAACCACAAGGTAGTTTCTGAGGCACAGCCACAGAATGAATCAGAAGGTAGGGACGGTGGAGGTCAAAGGATGGAGAGAATATTTTATTGGAGCCATTTAAGAGAAGAGTGGTTTATAGGAGCCACACAGTCCCCAGGAAGGGAACAAGGGTGCTCCACTGGGCAGAAATGTCAAGGAGAATTGGAAGCAATTACCTCTGGTGATTAGAACATTGCTATTGACCTTCCAAAGTAGGAGCTTCGGGAGGGGATGGTATTGGAAACAGATGGCTGTGTGTTTTAGGGCAGGTGCATTTGAGGATATGGAATGGTGGCTACTCAGTGGTGACATTTTGATAGGGAAAAAAAAAATCATTGCTTCTCAGAAGGGAAAAAAAAATGACTATTTGGAAGATAGAAGCAAATGGATTATAGGAGGGGAGAGGTTAAATTTGTTTGGCAGGCAAGAATTAAATGGTAGACTCTCAGGGAGCATAAATGTTAATAAAGAGAAGAACCGCAAGCTAATTGATAAGATACTTGATAAGAAAATGAACTGGCATAAGGTATGTTTTTGCATTTTATGCAAAAACAAAACATTAAGGAACTTAAATACCATTATTGATTCCAGTCAGAAGATGGGGAGAAGGAAGGATTAGAAGTCTTTCCATATTTTGTCTCTCGTGTCCTTTAAAGAACATGAGTGTCCTCTATCTTCTAGTGATGGAGATATCTCCTCGCTTGAACACTTCTATAATTTGGATCTTGAATCTTGCCCAAAGGTCCATATGCCTGGGGCACTGTTGGGGAAAGGTGGAACCTTTAGGATGGGGGGCCGAGTGGGAAGAGGTTAGGTCACTGGGGACGTGCCCTTAAAGGGGACATTCAGGCTCCTACCACTCCTCTTTCCTGCTGCTAAGAGGTGGGCAGCTTTGCTCTTCCATGAAGTCCTGCCTGGCCACAGGCCCAGAGCAACAGGGTCAACTGATCATGGCCTGAAATCTCCCAAACTGTGAGGCAGAGTAACTTTTTTCTTCTTTATAAGCTGATTGTCTCAGGTATTTGTTACAGGAACAGAAAGCTAACCCACCAAGGAATGGGAACTGTTCTGGATCATCCGCCTGTCTTCTCTCTGTCAGGGCAGGTGGTGCTGACGCTGTGTTAGTTACGTCACTGATTGAAGAAGACCAGGAAGCAGAGTCGAGCGGCACCCTTAGTAGATGAGCTTACTTCCTCCAGGGCAGAAGTTTTCAGGGGCTTTCAGGAATGAGTGCAAGTTTTATCTCACCAGTGTATCTGGTCCCCAGGGGACAGCCCAGGCGTGGAGGAAATACCGCGTGTGTGTTTGTGACCACTACACCTTCCCAGTGGGTGTTCAGTTTTGCTGCCTCTTTGCTGTTGGAGTTTCCCATGCAGGCCCCTCCCTCCTTCAAAAGGCAGTGTGTCCTTTGAAGGGATCGTGGCGCGGTGGACCTCACAGGTGTGTCCTGTCCTCCACAGACACAGGTGTGTTTGCAGTGGTGAACAGCCATTCCTTGTCCCTGCTGGGGAAGCTGACCATCAGTGCTGCCTTTAACATTGTTTACATCTACACCTCGGAGCTCTACCCCACCATCATCAGGTACGCGTTAGGCTTGCCCAAGCCCCCTCCAGACCTTCTGGGTTTGCTTTCACCAGACTGACCATTCCTCTGCACTGGGAGTCTGTGGGGCAGCAGCAGCTCCTCAGAATCTATGGGCTGCTCTTCACCTGTGTGGCTTGGTCCCAGCTGAACTTCCTCATGCAAATCATAAGATTTTCCATGCTCCACACTAAACATCCCGTCATCCAAACAGGACTTGGTCCTGGTTTTATTTTGTTGAATCTGGTTTATGCATTCACCCATCCAGTGTCAGGCATATAACTGACAAGCAGACAAGACTGCTGTTCTCACAGAGGCTCTGTTTTAGCACAAAATAGATTAATTATGTTTAAGTGTACGTTTTAAAACATTTTAACGATCATCTCATACAGTCGTAAGTGAATGTTAGATTTTTTTTTTCCAACGTTCATCGTTAAAGGTGGTTTTAAATGAGTTGGAAGGGAAGATGTCAGAAAGAACGTATTCTGTCCTAAATTTCCCCTCATAAAATAAGTCTGAAAACAAGAAACTAATTCAAATTTAAAGGGTGGCCTGGGATGCAGCTTATACCTTTCAGAATGACCTCAGGGGGCTGGGTCAGGTTTTCCTCAACCAGCCCTTTCCCAGTCTTTTTGAGGATCATTCTAAGTGGATCCTTCTCATTCCCTTAGCCATGCAATAAGACCAAGGGTTCTTTCTTCCTCTTAATTTAAAATCCCTTTCCCCAGTAACACATCATATTTCAGAGATTGGCTACTCATTTCCTGATTATTCCCACAACCTAGTTTGTCTGGCTATTGGCCTTGAAACTAAAATGTTATCCAAACTAGGGCAACTTGAAAGCAAATGTGGACATTATTAACAATGAGGCTGAGACTACAGAGTGGTGTATGGCCGGCCACCCTATCTAGAACTTCTGCCCTTCTCCCTCCCTACCATCCTCTTTTCTGCCCCCTCCCAACAAAAGTAATATTCTGGGTTACCTGACAGTGTACACACAATCAATTCCTATTTATATTCTGAATTTTTAATACTTGAATTTAAATAAATGGTTAGACTTTTGGGAATATGAAGCCCTGGCTCTCTACGGCTATATTAACTGATTGGATTCTCAAGACACACAAAAAAAATAAAAGCATCAGATAACAGATGTTCATTTCTACGTCATCCTCTATAGATGCACTAATATAGTAGTTATTATCCTCATGTGATCATTTTTTTAAATTAATTAATTATAATTAGGTCTATATGTCAGCAGAATGCATTTGGATTCATTGCGCACAATTGCAGCACAACTTTTCATTTCTCTGTGCACGATGTAGTGTTGCACTATATGTGCAGTCATATGTGTACCTGCGGTAATGATGTCCATCTCCTTCCACCATCTTTTTTAAACTAATTAAAATTACATAAAGTAAAAATTCATTTTCTTGTCCTCACCAGCCACATTTCAAGTACTCAGTAGCCTCATGTGTTCAGTGTCTTCTATATTGGACATCGTAATTACAGAACACTTCCAGCATCACAGAAAGTTGTAATGGGCAATGCCGCTCTATAGGATACTGTGCTTCCACTCTATAGGATACTGTGCTTACACTGTTCTGGGCCTATTTTACTCCCCCAGCCCCTCTACACACACCACACACAAACACAAACGTGCCTGCACATGTGTATATACTGTCTTTAAATAGTCCCGCTGGAACAAACCTACTGATATAATTTTTATTTTCCTTTTTCTTATGCTTTCAGGAATGTTGGGCTAGGAACGTGTTCCATGTTCTCCCGAATTGGTGGGATTATTGCTCCCTTCATCCCCTCACTGGTTGGTTTGTACCTCCTAATTTTTCTTGATTCTCTGCTTTGGAAATGCTTGTGCTTTTGCATAGAGAGAGAGGTAACACACAGATGCCGGTTAAGATCAACAGACACAAAAATAAACATATGCCTTTTAGATTAAGAACCCAGTACTCAGTCTAGGCAGAATGGATTGGTTTGCTTTTACCCATGAAGGATATGAGCTTTTGTTCCTCTGATTTCATTGGAGGGTCAGCTGATGCCAGGTCGTCTCCTTCCTGTGTCCATTCATAAGTTAATCAATTAGTAAGTCTTCATGAAGTGCCTGCTTTGCTCAGGGCTCTGTGCTAAGCCCTGGATGCATGTCATCACATGTAACCCTGACGGTAGCTGTATGAGGTAGGTGTCATCGTCACCCCTGTGTTAAAGATGAGAATGCTACAGAAACAGATTAAATGTCTTCCTCTCACACCATCTGGAAAAGAAAACTAGAGAAATATGCCTAGCAGTCTTCATGTGTAATATAATGTATTTGTTAATACACACACCCACACACATACACACACACACACACACACATTTACACACACACACAATTTTGGGGGCATTTTCTGGATTTCATAGTGCAAAAAAAGGGGAGAGACTGAATGACAGCCATAAAATCCTTCCAGTCTTATAATGCCCCAGGGCCCCATGCAGGTCTGTCCGTGGTCTGATCTGTGACTTTCCACCAAGCCTATGGAAAGGCAACCAAGGTTTGAGGTAGGGCTCGTAGACCTTCTCTGCGGACTACTGTTCATCACTCAGGCAGCTTAACCCCCACTTCCTAGTATGGGGTGACTGAAATGTGACCCTTGTCTTTTTTCTTTTTAGAGTTGCAATGTACTTCCTTTCCCTGAATATATCTTTCCACGTCCCATGCGCAACTTTAGGTCACGTAACTCTTCTTAACGAAGGAATCATGTTAATTCCATAGTTGTATTAGGCAGAACACCTGTGGGACGTGAGGTGTATATTGGTAAAACGACCTGACTTTGAGTGGCTGTGCCTGAACATCGTAATCCCCAGCATCATGTCTTCCCCTTCCCGTGAGGAGGGAAAGTGCTGTGTTCCCCTTGCTGGGATCCTACAGTGCAGGCCCTGGGTTTGTGTGCAGTAGGTAACATGTGATGAGAGATCTCTCTCCTCCCTCTTCTCCCTCTCCTCTCTCCTAACTCTGTTTTCCCCTCCCCTCTCCTGCTTCTTTCATCCTCTCCATCACCTCTTCACTTTAGAAAAATTAGGGGGAAAAAAAAATGGTCTGAGGGAGAATCCTCATTAGTGCCCACAGAATTTGGAAGTCCAAACCAGAAGATCATAAACCTTAGCACATCTGTACAGGAGGAACTCCAGAATGTTACTAATCGGCTCCAATGGCACGAAGCAGCATCTTGCCATCTCTTTTTGTGTGTTTCTTTGAACCTGTTTGTATTGAAAGAGAACATCAACTTTTCCTAAGAATATCTTTTGAATCTCTGAAGCAATTGCTTATAGGGCCAGCCTTTTACCGTGTTCAATTTTAGTAGTTTAAAAATCCTATGTAGGTAGTAGTATTTTTTCTTTTCAGGGATTTTATCTCTTTAATCCCTGGGTCCCTCCATAAGGGGTTAAAGTATATGGCGTGGTTTGGCTGATTTCAGAACAGAGAACTTTAAAGTTCATCCTCAGCAAATATCTTGGGGTGTCTCTCCTGTGAAGAGCACGTGGAGATCACTGTTAGGAACCACTTTCCCTGAGAGCAGAAGCTGGGTACCAGATTTCCTGTGAACCCTTGCATGGCCCGCCCTGCTCAGATGTAGCCCTGGCCTCCTGTTCCACCGTACCCACCGCTGCGCGAGGTGGTCCCGTGCTGCGGGTCCACATTCCTTTGCTTCCTCTTGATTTACCTGGCCCCATCTCTAAATGCCAGAGGCATCACTCAGTGATCTCCCAGAATAATTCTCTATGAGCAAAGAAAAGGTGGATTATGGTGTAATCTAGTGGGAAGCCCAGACTGGATAATAAACATGACAGTTTCAGTCACGAGACTGCTTGATGTCATGCGCAGAGGACACTGACACTGAGTTTCGTTTGTTCTGGTCCCACTCTCTGCCCATGCAGAAATATGTGCAGTGGTCTCTCCCCTTCATTGTATTTGGAGCCACGGGCCTGGCCTCAGGCCTCTTGAGTTTGTTACTGCCAGAAACTCTTAACAGCCCGTTGCTGGAGACGTTTTCTGACCTTCAGATGTACTCCTATCGTCGGCTGGGGGAGGAAGCCCTGTCCTTACAGACCTTGGATCCTCCGCAGGTAGGGCTGAGAATCTTTATCTTAACTGTTCGAGTCTTCTGCTTGGATGATGGTTGTTGTTAAAAAAAAAAAAATAAGAAGAAGAAGAATGTTCCAGTTAGATTCAGTAGAATGGAAAGCAAAGGTGGGATCTGATAGCAGCTGATTTTCAGAAAAAAATAAAGAGGTCTGATGATTCGTTAGCTTTCTTACAACACTCCGGGGACTACTTAGGGGAATAGATGTCATCAAAACACATGTGTTATTTGGAGAGCCAGGTGATAATTTTTCACACTCGGAATGTCATGACGTCATTTCTCTGCCCTCTCCCCCTTTCCTGTTTCAGCCTGCAGACAAGGAGAGCCCTGTAGGGAGTGAGAGTGAGGAAGAGGAAGAGTTTTACGATGCAGATGAAGAGACTCACATGATAAAGTGAAAAAGAGCCGGGACCCCTGCTCAGAAGCACAGGTTCCTCTTGTACACCTCTGGCCACGGCGGGTTCCCGGTGGGTCCTGGGAGAGCCGTACAAAGACAGGCTTGGCCTGAACAGGCGCAGCTGGGTGTTCAGCATGAACTGATTCTTTTCAGGCACAAAGGAAGTTGGAGAAGAAATTTCCTAAGAGAATACCTCACTGCACCGAGGGAATCGTTCTGGTCTAAAAATCCAAGTTTGGTTCAGAATCCTCACCTCGGGCCACACAGCTCCAGTAGTGCGCATTCCAGGGTTAGGAGGCTGACTGGTGTCTAGAAGTTGGTTCATGCTGCTCTTCCTTCGGCATGATCTGGAAGCAGATATGTAAAATGTCTCACCATTTGTGGGGGGGATTTGATAAACTGTCTTTAAACTGTAGTCTTCATATGATCTTCCCACATCTGCTCCTATGACTTGTTCCTCCTCCTTAGGAGTATTCTGATACAGGTTATTTTAATTTTGTGTCTAAGGAAAAGCTCTCAGAGGCCATGTGGTGTCCCAGCCGCCCTGCCC